TGACCTCTGTTTACTACAGTCCTGATTTGCCACTAATTTGATAGCAAGCCATAAGGGCCTACTGTAAACAAGCTGCTCACTTTACATAGCTGTGTTTGGCTCCTAAATGAAGAAGTATGTATGGAATATACTTTGGGTACTGTAGCCTCCTAAAGAAATAATAAAAAACACATCGCTGCTTAGCTCTACAGGTAACATTTACATTTGGAGAAAATAAGTTGCATGCCTAATAGAGAGAGAAAATGCAATTCTTATCCATCTTAGGTTTGTTTGTTTTAAATTGTTCTTTAAAGTATTTGAGAGCTCAGGCTGCCTCTTTTGAAGTCAGTGGGAACTTTGCCATTGATTTTAAAAGGATCAGGATTAAGCCTAAATTGGTAGAGTCTAAAAGGCAAAAATGAAAATGTCCAAAGTCTACAAATCTCTCACTGATTCACCATCCAGAAAGGAAGGACAAAAGCCTTCTCCAAGGACTGTAATGTACATCTTGATTCCAGGACTCCTGGTTTTTGTACATTTGTAGACTTCAAGATGGAAAGTAACTTCCAGTCAGGACTGTAATTGATAGCATATGGAGTAGTACATACTTGCACTGTGGACTTGTAAAGCTGCTGGGGGAAGGGAGATGAAAGCTGCTTGTACAAATCAAGAGACTTTCTGTACACACCTTCCATAAGTTGTCCTGCGCTAACACTATATACTGTGCCCTTGCCTGCAACCTGCCCCAGGCAGATTCCCCAGCTCACAGGTTCAAGCCTTCAGGTACTGTCTTACACACAGTAACCGAACCAGCAAGACTCTGCCAGTAGATGTTTAACTCAGAAACATGTCTGATCATCCTGCAAAAGCTTAGCACGTTTTGTGCTAAGCATCTGGCACTCGCAGCCATGTCCTCTGAGCAGCAAGTCAATGTACCACCCTGCTGTGACCATCAATCCCGGCAGTGAACTACCCATCACCTGGACTCTATCCTCACAGTGGAGAGCAGATGATGGTAGAAACATCTAGGTACCCCAGAGGGAGGACTATTTTCTTATTCAGCAGAGGAGGAAATCAAACCTCTCACTTTCTGGCTTACAAAGTCTTGGTAACTGTGACAAAGGCCAGCAGTCAAGGATGTGAACTCTTCTCAGCTAAGAATGTGATTCATCTACAGTGATGAAGTATAGAATCAGAGAAATGATGGGACATGGGCAAGTAAACACAAAAGGCCCTCTTGTTTCCTCTTCAGACACTCAAGTGTATTGAGTATCTGAAATGAACTGACCCTGGTGCCTGGTCAAGCTATCCATGGATGACTTCAGGAGGTTAGAGCAACCAGAGGTAGGAAACAGCATAATGACTTTGTTGCTTTATGTGGTCCTACTATCAGATAAGCAAGAGTTTGGGGAGACACATGGACCAAGCACATTCACAGATTATCTGAACCCGAGGTTGACACAGCACTCATTGCAGTCTGCAAAGTCTTGTGACCCAACAGAGAAACATCATCTTCTATTAATAGAGATCCATGCTTGGCCAAAGAACATCAGATAGAAATACAGCAATAAAGTAAGAGAACCCATGCAATTAAAATCCACAATAGTATCTTATGTCTCCAGTTCTCAGAAGTAATCCAAACTGATAAGAGCTTGATGGGAGCCACTAGAGAATGTGAGTATCATTTGCCAAGGTGTGCAACTCCTTCTTTTCTACCCCAAAATGACTGGCAACAGAATGCGAGGAGTCAAACACTGCCATCTTGAGAATGACTCAGTTTAATCATCCTGGAGATTTTCTAGCAATTCAACCAATTCAAGCAGCTTTTACTCCATCTTCACCAGTGCTACCTCCTGCTATGTGCTACTCAGAGGGAGTGAGGTACTACTCGCAGGGGGTGAGGTGGATCAGTCCTGTTATGATTCTGACATGGGTCAGCCACCACATCCAGTACAAAAAAGACAACAACCAAAAATACACACACAGAGAACCATACATGGTGCATTCTGAACACATCTCCAGTGACATGACCCTGACTCTGGTGCTAGATCTCTGCTGTGCTGTTTTGCTAATGTATCATAGTGCCCACTGAAAACACCTTCTATTTCCATGGTTTTGAAGTGGCTCAGCCCTGTTCTGCTGGCCCGTCTGGCAGAGGACACCCCTGCTTTGAAGGACCCTCAAACAGAACTTGACTTTGGTCAGAAGCTCGCAGCACAGCTGAGTGCCACTGAAAAGTGGAAATCATGTTCTCAGTCAAAACATTTTGTAGGTCCCATCTTCTGCTTCCAGATCATGGAACATTTCCTCAGAATATTTTAAGTGTCAGTCCCAAGGGCTTTAGTACCTTTATGCTAATCATCACCTCAGCATCACTTTCAGCATGAAACCAGCAATGCACAAGTACAGGGACATTTTCCCATACTGAGCTGTTTTTTCTGATGGAGGGTGGCAACTGAGAAGAAACAGTTTTCAAAATGATGTTTACTTTCTTAATAGGGTGGGCTTAGAAGGCAAAGAAAGGTTAAATTATTCGAATAACTTTGGGCTCTTACACATGCAAGACAATCAGAAATTTTTAATAAATAAAGGATGCCACAGGGACCCCTGGTGTGTTTAGACAGAGTGGGCATGTCTGGACCCATGCGAAACAGCAATCTGTCCCTGCTAGATCAACTTCTAAAGCAATTCAACAAGGGCTCCACGTAGACAACGTTACAGAAAACCTGTTCCAATAGCTTTCTTATGCAAGAGAAAACCACAATCACATTTGTATTTTAGGCAGTGAACCAACAAGAATGAAGCAAAACAACAAGAACTGTCCTCGAGAGATATTTCAGGCAGCTCCTCTCCTCCCACTCCCCTTACGCTCCTTTTCAATCTCTTACCAGCCTGGGCATTTTTGGCAACAGAGAACCATATTGCAGAGGTCACTGGCAGGCTGGTGGGGACTGCTGCAGCTTTTGGCTATCAAAGATGACTTCCCCAGCCAGGAGAAGCATCGACCTCTTTGGTGTCCATTTTGAGCTGAGACAGAGGTGATGTTGGGTGGAGGAGGCAGAGGAACAGGAGAGATTTCCTCAGCCCAGCGACCTTTGACAACCAGTTGCTGCTTTTCCTCTTCGCCCCAGGATCTGCTATCCAACAAGTGCAAATTGAGGATGACAAATAAGAACATTAGCCTGGCGTTTCTGCTAAAATGATCCGCCTTGAAGTAGCTGATGTTGACACTTAAATTGTCAGCAGACTTCCAGTTTAGTGCTCCAGTTAGAAGAATGGGTCCATTCACACTTCCCTCTGAGCTATTGTTTCAACTCTCTCTAGAAGGGGCAAATATCTCTGCGGCAGTTTACACTCCAGTTCCACTTTAAAAGGTTTTTTTCGCAACCATAACCCAAATCGCCTAGAAACTTTTCCTTTTTAATGTAAGCTTAGACTCCAGAGAATAATTACACAATGCTGTAAAAATAGTCTGCAGCAATTTACATAGCCGTGAAATATTGGAGCTGGTTTTTTTCAGTGTACCTACGTATTCATGGCTGCAGCCAGCTCCAGTATTTACAGAGCACTCACTGGAACTGTGGTCACAGAAACTGGTATTTCAGGTTAGGCCACACATATGAACAAAACATTTCTTGTTATAAGGCAAGGTTTTGTATTTTGGGGCATTACATCATCATCTAACTGAAGCACTACCTTGCCGCTTCTACCTTTCCTCTATCACCTTCTAGCTGGATTCAAAAACATCCCTGTGGCTAATGCAGGCATTGTTTATGTAGTCAAGTAAAAGACTATTAATTTAACTTCAGAGACTATTAGTTTAACTTCAGTTTCTTTCCTGTAATTACATGTTCCTTCCATTTTTCAAACAAGTTAATCATACTGAGGGACTATATCCTCATTTTTCTCTCTGCAGTCAACTTTGCTGCTGCTCATTTCTATTAGGGATCATATTTCCTCACCTGCTGGAAGGTCAGTCACCAGCCTGCTTTCCTGCATGCTGACTTGTTCTCTTCTCTCCTGAAGCATCTTGCTGATGGTAGGACCACCAGTCCCACTGGAACTAAGCAATCTCACTTCTTTTTAAGAGTAGGAGAAAATTCTACTGTAGCAGTTGGTAGAATAACTGCTTGCTGAGCCTTGTCTGCTGTAGTAATTGTCAGGACTTTGGACATTTTCAAGCCCAGCTGACCAGCAGGATAAACAACCCAATACCCTCCAAGGTACAGTATGAGCTCTCTAGATTACAGGCAGTTATCCTGTCCAGAACCTGACGATGCAGTGGCTTAATTCTTCCTTTCTGTGCTTCCCTAGAAGCCTGTTTCTGTCTCCAGTGTAATTCTGCCAAGATCCTACCTTGCCAGCTCCTATTCTCCCTTTTAAGGAGTTCTTTTCGTTGTTGCTTTCCCCAGGAGAGCTTCAATGATTAAATCAAAACTAACAGAACGAATGGATAAAGCCACAGCCTGGGAACAAACCCATTGCCTGAAATCTCTGCAAAGAAACTATTCAGGAAATACTTACAAGTGAAGAATACATGGCAGGAGTAAGAATTTATGCAAGTGACTATATGCCTATGGGAACAACAACTCCCAACACCTGTAAGCTACCAGTAAGGAATTAATAATTGACCATTAGATTTAGGCAGTGATTTGAAGGAGTTAAATTCCCAGGCTGCCTTTTCAGAGCAGGGTGGGGCGTTGGGGAAGTCAGAGGGAAAAAAAAAAAAAAAAAAAAAAGGCACCTGAATGCCCTGGGAAGGAGCAGCAAAACCTTCTGTCAGGCTCCCCTTCCTCTCCTGTGCTACAAGTACTCCTCAGCTGCGGGTGTCCTGGTGCCCACCAGCAGCCGCAGCCCTTGGCGGCACACACCCGCACGTGGGGTGACCCATGCGAGCACCTTACCCACACCAGGAAGCCAGTGCCACATCCCGGTCTCGCTCACCTCTCCTCACAGCCACCCGTCCCCACTGGTGTGACAGCGCATGGCATGGCCAGTGGCCCGGGCCTGAGGGAAGGGACATGGGCATCCTCCCTGTTTTGGAGTGGGGATCCTGGAATGTATCCTTTGGAGGGCCGGGTGCTGGGAATGGGCCCCTCTCTGGCCCCTGGTACAGCACACACAAGGTAAGTGCTCACCCTGCGGTGCCGTGTTGGGGACCCAGCAACGAGCGGGCTCAGGGAGAGCAGGTTAATGGTTTCGGCTTCTCCCCACTGTCCTCTGAACCTCCCCCTTCCAGCGCCCGTTTGCTGCTGACACCTGCTTCCTCTTTATTCTGCTGTTGAGCCTGTGCTGCTCTGGTTTCCTCCTCCAAGCAGTCCTTTCTGAGCAGGAACCGGGCAGAGCTGTGCCGTTCTGTGCTAGAGCATCACTGGTTTTTGTCATCGGTGTTTCTGTCACTGTCAGTGCTGACAATGTATTTGGGCAACTGCAAAAGAGAGACTGAAGCGGCCCCCGAGAACCAGCAAGTTGTAGCATCTGCTAACAATAAAAAATAATTGGAGGTTGATTAAACCCTTTACCTTTTCCCTGCTTTTTGCTTCACAAACTAGGAGGCATTGGATGACATTCTTGTTTTCCAGTGCGTAAGAAGCAAACCACTTTTTTACGATGCAAAGTATTGGTATAAATTGTGCATAAAATGGCTTGCAACTAACTGCTCTCCTTTCTCTACAAGCAGCTTGGTAGCAGGTCGTAACCCAGGGAAGGTCCCAAAAACTTTCCCCTCTGGAGTCTACATTTGCTACTGGGTGGATAACCAGATGGCAGGAGGCATTTCTCAGCCCATGTTCTCAGAGGGAAAGAAAACTGCAAATTCCTGTGCTTGGGTCCCCGGCACAGCAGGGCTGATGGCTGGTGGCAGTGCTTCCCAGCACCAGAGCTGGGGTTTCTTATGGGAGGCAAGAGCGTGGAACCAGGGCTTATTGTAGGTTTGGGAGGTAGGGCCCTGGGGTTTGGAGGGCTTGCAGAGCTGCCGGAGAAAGGCAGCGACAGGGAACTCCCTTGTCATGGGGACATCCACCCCACACGTCATGGTGAGGTTATTGGTTTGCTTGCTAAACATCCCAGCCCTGCTTCTGTACTCCTTTGGGTGGTTGTGCAAAGATTGCTGTGTTTTAAGCCTGGTAGTTTTCTGGGAAGACCTGAGGAATTTTTTAGTGTTGCTTGGGTATCAGCAAGCAAGACTGGGTTTCCGTGCTTCCATTTACTTGTAGAGTTGAGTGTTCGGAGCAGGTCATGGGTAACTATGGGCTGTGTGTTGCTGACAACCTTAATTTTCCCAAGATTTGAATTCTTCTGTGCACCTCCATTTTCACATTTTACATGTTTTTAAATATCAGAAACTCTTTCCTCACACCATTCCTGGCAAAGGGGCTGTCCTGGCTGTGATTCAGTGCATCAGCCCAGTTTCAGGACTTCATGTAGAGGCTCTTTCAATTCTCCTTTTCTTGTGGCCATTTCATCCTCTGTGTTAGGTTTGGAAGATGAGGTCTTTGTTTTCTACCTCTACAAGGGACTATAACTGCATCAGCTCTCATCTGCCTGGAAACATCCCAGGGAACTTGAGGTGAATTGCTTTTGGGGGAGCATTTTTCAGTCCCACGAACCATCAGGGGGTGAAAGAGTGAGATCCCCTTTCAAGAGCCCCTAAACATGAGGGGCTTGGCATGGCTGCTAGTCACAGCTGCCCAATGTCACGTGGCCATTGGAGAAATTCACATGAGACCAGCAGATCTGACACATGCATTAGGGAAACCCATGGCACTGGAGTAAGTCTTAAACGATGTCTGTAAACACACAGCTCCCTAGAAGTTAAAGTGCCTGTGTCCACGTGGCTGTGTAGTATGATGCCTCCTTGTGCTGGCATTATATTTCTTTGTTGTTTTTTTTTTTAAATTGGGGTTATTCTCCTGCCAGGTCCCTGATCAGGCTTATTGGTGCTAGCTATCAGCATGAGGGCAGCTGGGGGAATGAGTGGTTGTGGGAACAAAAGAGTGGAGGTAGGACTTCTCCTTGGCATCATCACGACTGTAGCATGGTTGATGCTGCTTAAGGAACTGCGCTTCTGAAATCAGCAACACAGGACCCGGTGCTCTGACAGCCTTGTCTGTCTCAGCCCTGGGTTGTGTATCATGGGACATGGGTGTAATTTATGATGCAGTAAAATCTTATGAAATTCACTTAGTTACTTGAAGTATCTCCTGACAAACTAATATTATTGTGGTATTTTTGACTGTTCTGGAGTAATGAACGTAAGAAGCCACCACATGTGAATTTGGTCTGCTTAATAGAAAGTGTGTGTAATTGCTTCAATTTAATCCTTTGTTATTTCCCTCAGCACTTCTCAAGGGTTGTTTATTTATTTCCAATATTGTTGTTTGCGGACAAAAACATTTTGCAAGATTAGTTGAGATTATTATCTACAGTATCGATCTTGGTTTGACTTTGTGTCAGAGAAGGAGAAAAGAGCTGGGTGGCAATACTCAGTGAAAGCTCAGATGTAATACTTCTTCCAGAACTTGGTAGTTCACAAGGCTGTTGTGTGTAGTCACTGTGTGCAGTTGTTCATGTGTAGAAGCTGAGCTGGAGATGGAAATTCATTTAACTTCTGCTTCTTTTTCTTCCTTTGCCTGTCTCTTAAAAACTCGGAGTTATTACTGGCTGCCCAAACACTCACCTCGAGAGATTGTTTTATTTCGTGGGTTGTGGTAATAAATCATCTCAGCTCTATATTTGAGGTTTAAAATGTTGACAGCTCCTTCAGACGGTTCTGCGGCCTCTTGTCCCGTGACAATATATCACAGCCTGTCACAGGCCATACATGCAGGTGGTGAGTATGTGCAGCCAGGAAACCTGATCCTTTGTCAGGTCTAATCAGTGGGCAGTGGTGGCTGCTATCAGGTGCAATGAAAAATCCCACGGATTAAACACATCGTTGTGAGGTCTTTCTACACTGCCTTCTATCATACACCTGAAATCTAGATTTCGTGGGAAGTGCCACAAACAAGGTTTTTAGCTCACTCTGTTCAAGGAGAAAGTCTTCAGTGCTTCAACTCACTGCAACTTGCTAAGGGCTCGATACAGCCACTTGATGACTAGTGCCATTGAACCTCAGCAAGGTGAGGGCGTGGTTTGGTCCTGGTTTCTTCTGGTTGCAGCACAGTCTCTGCTGGTACTCCTGCTGCCCCTGTGCTGCAAGGGACCCAGTGCAGGAAGGCAGGGAGGTGCCACCATGGAGAAGAAGATTATTTCTCCATTTCCCTTGGCTGATGAGGCATCCAAGAAACAGAGAGGGCCTCTTCAGCTAGCACTGCCACCAGAGAAAAGAGTTGTCACAGCACATCCTACAAACACTCACCAGGATATTTTAAGCATATTAAAAAATGAAATTTCCAACCATAGTTTTCAATCAGGGAAAGCTCTAGAGCAAGCCCAGGTGTCCATGGAAGTGCGAGTGGGAGCCAAAAGGGCAGCATGGCCACAGAACGCGGGGTTTCAGCCAGGGCAGCATTCCTCTCCAAAAGGCAACCACCAGATACTATCAGACTATTAAAGGTGAAGGCAAACCCTCTTGTTTTTTAACACTTCAAGTGTTTTGTAGTTTTTTTTAATGCCATTTTCTCAGTCTCTGTAGGGTACCTCACGCTGTGGTCTAATCCCTGATGGACTGCAGATGTTAACTGTGTCAGGTTAATCAGTAAACCTGTCCCCCAGCATGGGGAGAGTAGAGACAAAAATGTCCTTACTCAGCTCTCTGCTGCTGTATTCATCTTGAAGACTATGGTGACAAGTTTTTCCTCTTCCCTATCCAGGGCCTTATTCTGAAACTGTGCATTGCAAGCAAACAAGGATACCAAAACACTGACTCTATTTCATTGTGTTGTTCTTTACCTGTCAGATTTCAGAGTTCACACAGTTTCAGTTTCCTTTATCTTATGGGGGAATGTGTATGGGAGAAAATGCATGCTGTTCCCTTCGGTGGGAAATGTGTGTTATTTTCAGCTCTTCCAAATAAAAAGTTAGGAAGAGGACTTTGTTCATCCTTTCAAACATAACTTTTTTGAATCAGTCATGGGGAATCCAAAAGTAAAAGCTTATAATAAAGAAGCATTGCAAACAGTTGATGCCAGCATCCATGCACACTCTTCTGCTGTTGTTCTGCTGTCGGGAATTCAACAACATTTCCATGGCTTAGTCCCCGGTTAACTAAGCTCTGCTAGAAAAGAATGTGTGGCTTTGGATTATAAATGCAGGACTGTCAGCTGGGCCAGCTTTGCACGCAAGCTTTCAGGCTCTACCAGAGCTGTAGCTCTGATCTGCTGGGGGCTGTGCTCTGATTAGCGTTAGTGTGAGTGAGAAGCTGAAATGAGAAAGTGAAATAGAGCACTGGTTAGAAAGGATCACCCACATCTTTTTTACAACCTCATACATCCATTCTGCCTTGCCAAACATCAACTTTCCCTGCAGATGTAAAGATCGCAACATGTCTGGTGTGAAATGAGCACACAGCTTATCTAAGCTGCAGCCTCCAGATTAAAGAAGGATCAGCTGCTACATGGGAACTTATTCATTATTCAAAGATAAGAGATGTAAGTAAAGAAGAGCCTTTACCCCTTGCCTGTCCCCTTGCACGGTACCATAAGCATGTTTGTATCGTCATGACTCTCAAATTCCTTAGGGAAACGCAGCTTTTTCCTTTGATCACTGCAAGCAGAGTGAGAGTAAGCCATGAAGCTGTTTATACCTCTGGATATAGAGAAGGCAGCGAATGGGGCAGCAGGTCTGGAACAGATGCCCTGGGTGGGAAAGTTGCCCAAAGACTGGAGGTACCATGTAGCTTTCTGAGCCAGCCTGAGGAGTGTCCTGCTTATCTGGTTTCCACCAGGCACTACTCTGGGTCCCAGAACAGCCAAATTTCCTAGTGCTGTGCTATTGATAGGCCTTTGTCACCCTGCTTGGGTGTCTCCTGCCAAGGCTGGAAGGAGTCAGGTGCCTGTGGCAGTTTCCCCTCAAAGCCCAGCATGATGCTAAGCAGCAGATACAGCAAACCAACTCAGCTCCATGTGTTGAGGTTGGGGCATACAGACCCGACGCAAATGCTATTGATGGAAGAGCTCATCCTCCA